ATAGCCACTCGCAGGTCTGTCATTGAATGACCAGACAGGTTAAAGTGTTCTCCCACTGGTTTTTGAGTATTATGATTCCTGATGTCAGATTTGTGTCCATGAATTCTTTTGTCTAGAGACTGTCCGGTTTGGCCCATGTACATGGCAGAGGGGCATTGCTGGCACATGATGGCATATATCACATTGGTAGATGTGCAGGTGAACGAGCCCCTGATGGTATGGCTGATGTGATTAGGTCCTATGATGATGTCACTTGAATAGATATGTGGACAGAGTTGGCATCGGGCTTTGTTACAAGGATAGGTTCCTGGGTCAGTGTTTTTGTTCAGTGATGTGCGGTTGCTGGTGCATATTTGCTTTAGGTTGGGGGGTTGTCTGTAAGCGAGGACAGGTCTGTCTCCCAAGATCTGTGAGAGTGAGAAAGCATCTATAGTTGGCCCATTCGCTTGTACCTGCATCAAGTGCTGATAGTGTGCAGGTACCTCAGTCCTATTACTCTCTTTCATCCCCTCTCCTCTGACTGATGGCTCTGTCCTACTGCTGTGCTTCACCCCTTTCCTGTCCCTATCCTATTGCAGCAGCTCAGTTCTCTTCGTCCCATTCCCCATCAGACCTCCAGTCACATCCCATCTGACTGGCAGCTCCATGCTGTTATGCCTTTTTCCAGCTTGAAAGCTTGTCTCTCTCACCCATAGAAGTTGGTCCAATAAAAGATATTACCACCCCACCTTGTCTCTCTAATATCCTGTGACAGACAGGGCTACAACTACACTGCATACATTTTTCTACTCAGTCCACTCTCAGCCTCCTTAACCTGCAAACTCCTTTCCTTGCCCAACTCTCATGTCTGCTTTCCTCTGACTGGAGAAGGATTTTTCCCAACCTCATGGGCCAGGTTCATGAAAGGCATCTTTAGTTCCTATACTTCTATCAAATAAGGGATACTCACGTTTCTACTTTATTAGTGAAGAAGCCCTACAGATAATTGAGGACATGTTAATCTATATACATATACAGAAGATATCATTTTGTGGTGTATATGTAGAGTAAGTAATTTAGGGAACCACTAAGGATCAGCCATTTGGAAGGGGGTGGGATGAGGTGGACTCACGGAGGTTTAGCCAGTAATCCTAGATTCCTGAGTTTTCTTCACAATTATATATGAATGTGTAGGTTGAACAATTAGAAACGGTATTCTGCAAACTCTTAAATTTAGCATGTATCAATACTAATTAATTAATTCCACAGCAACAGAGGACAGTTTCCCAATGCACATCATAGATTATGTATAGCGTTATAATTGTCTGACGCGCAGTAATTTGACCCCCTTAACATCAATAGATAAACTTTGATCTTGAATCCAGTCCCATTATAATACTGTCCATTTGTAAAAAAGGAGCTTCCTCAAGGCAATTAATGATTTCGTTCTGACTGGGAGCATTTTACTATTCCTTCTGTCCTAATGCTGCAATTTGTCTTGGATTCCGTGTTTCTAATGTAGAGGCTACAGAGCCCTTAGCAAAGGTGGAGAAACAATCTGTTAAATTTCACTGCCTAAAAGTCAGAGTTAAGGGACTATTGTTTACACCAAGAGAAGAGAACGGGGATCAGGAAGCCTTTCCTAGAAGAGTGGTTATGACATCCCCATCCCCACTGAAAAACAAAAAATTAGGATATTGTTTTCCCGACCAGAGGATAAAAGTGCTACCACCAAAACCTTCACACCTCTGACTTGTATAAGAGCAGAGCAGTTCTGAATTTCAACCTGTCTAAGGAAAGTAGCTTCTGCTCTTTGAGTATTGCAATTGCAATGTCTGAGAAGACAGGTACAGCTACGAATGCGATTTCAGAATAGTTCAGAGAGCAGCA